CCTCGGCAACCTCGGCCCTGCATGGCCAGCACTGGGCTCTGCTCCTCCTGGCCGGGGTGGGCCTGGGGGCCGGCTCGGCCCTGTGAGGTGGGCCTGGGTGAGGTCAGGGACTCTGCTGAGTGTGGCTGCCTTCACGCCCGCAGGCATCAGGCCTGGATTGAGGGCTTCACTGTAAAGTTCTCTAACGAACTATCACAACTCTGTGAGGCCGGTCTATGTTAAAGTTCGGGAAACTGAGTCACATGGTCAGGGTGGAAAACAGCAGAGGCAGGACGGGGTCCAGGCCACCCCAGGAGGTTCCAAGGATGTCCTTGAGTCCCGTGCACAACTCTGAGCTTCCAGGAGATGTCCCGGGGAGAGGGTCTGACCAGAACCTGAAGCCCCCTGCCACACAGGGTGGAGAGCAGGCGGCACGTGCCACGTGGCTCCCACGTGGACGCCCCTCCCCGCCTCTCCCTGCCCAGAGGCGCCTGGGGCCCCAGGCCGGGCCCTGCTGTTCCTGGAGGTGCTGCCCAGAGCCCTCTTGCTGGAAAGCTGCCCCCGTCTGCAGCGGCTGGGAGCTGATCCAGGCCGGGGCCCTCCCAGGTCGCCCTCCCTCGGCAGGGGGGGTGACTCTGGGCTTCACACACCTCCCTGCAAACCCCTGTGACCCTTCTGCAGGAGACCTGCCTTCGGGGAAGAACCTAGAGCGAGGGGCAGACGGCGGCTGGGCAGGGCCCGCCTGGCCACGTGGAGCGAGGTGTGGAGGCCCCCGTGCCGCAGACATTGTTCTCACCGTTAATCATCTCAGTCGATACTCACACAAGAGGCCGGGCACGGTGGCCCACGTCTGTAATCCCAGCACTCTGGGAGGCTCAGGCGGGAGGATCGTTTGAGCTCAGGAGTTTGAGACCAGCCTGAGCAAGAGCGAGACCCCGTCTCTAATAAAAAATAGAAAGAATTTAATTGGCCAACTAAAATATATATAGAAAAAAGTTCGCCGGGCTTGAGCCCAGGAGTTGGAGGCTGCTGTGAGCTAGGCGGATGCCACAGCATGTCTAGCCTGGGCAACAGAGTGAGACTCTGTCTCAAAAAGAAAAAAAAAAAATACACACGGTATAAACAGTCACACGGCTGAGCGCGGTGCTTACTCTCTCCTCTCCCTGCCGGTGCGGGCTGGGCAAGCTCCTCCTGGCGGCTGTGTGGGCTCCCCCGTCCCTCCCTTGCCTGAGGGGCAGCCCGGGTCCCTCTGCAGGGCTCAGGAACCACCCTCTGCCCCCCACGGATGGATGGGGGACACACCCTCAGGGCAAGCCCTGCTCAGCGACCTCAGGCAGGTCCGAGTAGCCCCCGGGGCCTCAGCCTCCCACCTGCATTGGGGCAGAGCGCGTCACCTCGGCCGACCAGGCTGTTCTGGGGACAGGCCAAGGCCAGCAGTCCTGAGCTGCCCCTCGCCATGAATGAATGAATGGGAAGGAATGACGCTCTGCCACAGGCTGTCATGGTGGACAAGCCCAGAAGACACTGTGCTCGGTGAAAGCAGCAGCCGCTTGGCCACGCGTGTTGTGTGATGCCATTTCCATGAAATGTCAGGACAGGCGACTCCACGGCGGGGGGCTGGGCTGGGCGTGCAGCTGCGCCGGACTCAGGCCATGGTCATGCCGGGCCCGGGTCATGGACAGGCTCTTGCCGCAGTCGCCTCCTCTGGCCTGCAGGTGGGCAGGCAGACGGGCACCTGGCTGCGGCCACTGGCTCAGCCCCTCCCAGTCCCCAGCTGCCCGCCCAGGTGTGGCCCAGGCTGCCCACACCAGCCCTGACTGTCGGGCCCCTGTTCTCTGCCTGGGCTCACTGACCCCCACCCCTCTGTCCTCTGCCCTCCTGCAACCAGGACTGACCCTCATCCCCCCAGACGCTCCTGAACCCCCCTGCACAGCTCTCCTGCCCGGCTGGTGCTCTGTCCCTCCTCTGCCCGGTCCCCAGGGCAGCCAGCGGGGCGCCCAGCCCCACGCTGTGGGAAGGGGGAGCGGCCCACCCAAGCTGGGCAGTTCCCTCGCAGCCTCCCAGGGACCGGCCGGCGTGCCGCCTGTCAGTGACCATGTGCTGGGGCCACGGACACTAGGACAGGGACGGTCAGGGCCCTGGGTCCCTCCCCAGCTCTCCACGGCCTCCACAGAAGACCACTTCCAGGACAGCACCCTGTTCTGCCGCCAGGGCAGAGCGAGGGCCCAGACCCTGGGCCTCGGGCCTCCAGCTGCCCCTCTGGCCTCCTCTCCCACGAGGGCCTGGCCTGCCCCCTCCCTTGTCCTCCTGAGCAGCCCCGTGACCGCCCGAGGTCACCCATAGCCTTCCCGTCTCCTGCCGTCGTCTCCTGCCAACGTCTCCTTGTGGGTCCCGGCTGGTGTCCCCTCCCCGCACTCCCTCTGCGCGGTCCCCTGGCGTTTCCCAGCCCCTTGTCCTCCTGCACCCAGCAGGCAGGTGCCGTCTGTCACCCGGCCCCAGTGTCACAGGCGGCCTCAGCCACCACCGCTCTGCGTCCTCCAGGTGAGACTGGGAAGAGCCAGCATTTGGGGACCAAGTGCAGCAGGAGAGCTGCTGGACAGGGTCCACTCTGGCCCTGGCTGTCACCCCTGAGAGCGACATGTGTAGTCTCATGTGTGGGGGAGCTGGGCTGTGGCTTCAGGCTTGGGCGTGTCATCTGACCTGGGGCTGGTGCCCTCCTCTTCCCAGCATGGCCAGGTCGGTCCCTGGGGGCCAACCGGCCCTTCCCTGCTGTCCCGTGAGGTCTGCTGGGGAATCTGAAGGCCTGGAGGGGGCGGGAGCCAGGCTGTGGGACCCACAGGGATCTCTGAGCCCTGGGCCATCACCTGCTGCTGGCCCCTGAGCCTGCAGCCCCGGCCCTGGCTGTGCCTGAGGACAGTCTGTGGGACGAGACGGACCCCACACGGCTCCGGCGTGGCCCTCGGCCTGTCATCCAGAGGCCTGTCCCTTCTCACGCCCTTTGTGGATGTCCTTCCTTCTCTCCCTGTCGTCCCCTTTCACCTTCCCATCTCTCCCGTGCCCCTTCCAACCTTGGCCCGAAAGCAGGTACCTTCTTAGGGTGGGGTCTCCTGTCCCATTTTACTGCTGAGGCCACTAAGGCCAAGAAGGAGGCTGCAGGGTTGCGGCCAAGTGTGGCTGCCCAGGTCGATGGCTCTCCCTGGGAGTTGTCCAGTGCACAACCTGTACCGCTGTGCTTGGCAGATCTCAATCCTGGTGCTTAAACCTGGCCAATCTCATCCCCCCTGCCAAGAGCCCCCCCCTTTGCCCTGGCAGGTAGGAGTGACAGGAAGACTCAGAAGCCTTGACACCGTTGTGCTGGGCTGACCAGTGCTGGGGCACAGCCCCTCAGTAGCTCAGGCAGCATTCCTGGGATGCTTCTGCCCCATTCAGCAACCGAGGCACTTGCTATGCAAACACTCAGGGCCTCACACAATGGTCCCCCCCCTCCTCACCCCCATTGTCCTTCCCTTTGGGGAGGGACAGAGTGTGGGGAAAACAGGGGCTCCCTTTCTGCAGGGCAGGGCAGGAATGCAGGAGCAGGAGCGGGTGAATGGCCGTGCAAATGAGCCTTGCTGATGAATGCACCAGCCCAGCTCCATGAATGTCCAGCCCGAGGGGCAGTCCCACGCCTGTCCCTCCCCAGCTCAGACCCTGGGAACTTCCTTGGGTGGAGGGGCTGGCTGTCAGACTGCCTTGGCCTTGCTCACCCCCTTCCCCCTGACCCAGGCAGCAGCGCTAGCCTGGTAGGTGCCTCCCACCCCTCTGGGTCTGGCCCCCCACAGCAGGGCCCTTGTTACAAAAGATTGTCATCACCCGCCTGCGACTTGTCTTTTCTGTCCCCTCTGCCGAGGTCTGAGTTTGAGAGGACGGGGCCTACCTTGGTCAGGGCTGCACCCTGTCTGCCCGGCACAACAGCGTTTGATGAATGAATAAGCAACCTCATCCTTGCCCACCTGCTCCCACACCCCCAGAGCCCCGACCCAGGTGGCCTGGCTTGGGCAGGACCCTGACCCCTCACTCACTCCTCCTCCCCAGGGCCCCGCCCTCTCCTGGAGGTTGAATTTGTATTTAACCACTGCGGTTCTGTGCTCACCGGCCACGAAACCTCGCCCACAGCTGCGCTCACAGTCCGCACGGCGGTCTGTGCTGTGAGTTGACGACAGATCCACTTAGCTCCTGTGTGAGGAGGGAAGCTTGAAAGCACTGAAAGCTTGTTTTACGTTACAGGCAGCTTCACTTGTCATGCAAATCAGAATAGGTAACATACACATACATGTTTTCAGTACGTTATCTTTAAATGTTCACGATTTTATTTTGATAAATGAAAAATTAGAAAACTCATGTCCTCCTGGGCTCCCTGCATCCCTCCCAAAGACAAAGGAGGCGCCAGTGTCCCGTGGGCCCTTCCCAGATGAGGTTTTGGCAGGTGGCAGGTGTGTGGAGCTCCGTCCCTCCACCCGCGTCCGTGCTGCGTCACTCCCTCTGCCCTGAGACCACAGCTCTCCTGGCTCATGACGTGAACTTAGGAACGGGGCCTGCGCGGTGGCTCACGCCTGTAATCCTAGCTCTCTGGGAGGCCGAGGCGGGCAGATTGCTCAAGGTCAGGAGTTGGAAACCAGCCTGAGCAAGAGCGAGACCCCGTCTCTACTATAAATAGAAAGAAATTAATTGGCCAACTAATATATATAGAAAAAATTAGCCGGGCATGGTGGCGCATGCCTGTAGTCCCAGCTACTCGGGAGGCTGAGGCAGAAGGATCGCTTGAGCCCAGGAGTTTGAGGTTGCTGTGAGCTAGGCTGACGCCACGGCACTCACTCTAGCCTGGGCAACAAAGCGAGACTCTGTCTCAAAAAAAAAAAAAAAAAGAACTTAGTAACGGCCCCTTGCCTAGACCTGAGGCCTCCTTCCTCCTGCCTCTTTCTGCTGCCGAATTCTCTGCCGTGCGGTCTGTGCAGCCCGCTGACGGGCATCTGGGTTTTTCTGATGAGCTCAGGAACTGCACTCCTGGACGTCACACTCAACCCGCCCCGGGCACAATGCCCCCCCAGGGCGGGGTCAAACAGCGTGCGTGTGCAATCCTGACAGTTTTGCCCATTGTGAGCTGCAATCATTTACAACAACCTGCGCAAGTCCCCGCCTCCTCCGGCACTGCCACAGGTGCAGTCAAAGCCGCCACCCATCCGACAGGTGGACGCTGCCGGTGCCTTTGAGTCCCATTGCGCTCAGAGAGTGAGAGGGAGCTTCTTCCCCCGAGTTCGTGAGCCTTTTGTTTTTCATTCGTGGGAAGCCCCTGTTCGTGTCTTTTCCTTTTCATTTTCCTCCCCTGTTGGATTATTAACCCTTTAGAAATTGATTTGTGGCCAGGTGAGGTGGCTCACGCCCGTAATCCTAGCACTTTGGGAGGCCGAGGCGGGAGGATTGCTTGATCTCAGGAGTTTGAGACCAGCCTGAGCAAGAGCAAGACTCTGTCTCTACTATAAATAGAAAGAAATTAGCCAAACAACTAAAAATAGAAAAAATTAGCGGGGCATGGTGGCTCGTGCCTGTAGTTTCAGCTACTTGGGAGGCTGAGGCAGGAGGATTGCTTGAGCCTAGGAGTTTGCGGTTGCTGTGAGCTAGGCTGACGCCACGGCAACTCTAGCCTGGGCAACAAAGTGAGACTATCTAAAAAACGAAAATTGATTTGTTAGAGCTTTTTGCATATGAGAGAGTTCAGCCCTTCGTGTGATATAGTTCACAAATATTTCCCCCAGCCTACTAACCAGCAGACCTTGACTTAAGGTGGCTTTTGCTAGGCAGAAGTTTTACTTTATGTAGTTGAATTTGTTTAAAAAAAACATTTTGTATGGTGGATTTTCGTATTTTGTGTCATGCTTAGGAAGGTCTCACCTCAAGCTTATAAAGAAATTTCTTCTTCTTTTTTTTTTTTCCCTAGACTTTGTGGCTTCATTTTTCACGTTGCAATCTCCAATCCCTCTGGAGTCTATTGCACTGCAAGACATCAGCGCGATTTTGTGTTTTCCAGGTGGCTACCTGGCTTTCCGAGCACAGGTGGGCTCTTGAGTGACCCGTCCTCTCTCGCTGATTTGAACTGCCATCCTTGCCGCCTGCCGAATTCCTGTGCATTTGAATCCGCTTCTGGCCTCTGAGCTGTTCTTTGATGGCACACGATTCTCGTGCCGGCGTCACTGCTCTGATTATCGTAGCTTTGTGACGTGTTTTAACGTCGGCTGGGGCGAGTCCCCTCTGCTCACTTCGCCAGAGACCTCGGGAGCCCACCCCAACATCCGTGACCTTCTCGCCTCTTCCTTTGTAGCCTGATTCCATCCGGGGCAGCAGAACATTAGGAGCTTGCCTTCTAGCCTCCACCTCGGGGTGAGGCTGAGCTGCCCAGACAGGCCACAGTGCTCACCTGCTCCCCACCCCCCCATGTCCGGCCCGCGGGACACAGCGATTCGGGTTTTGGGGCTCTCCTGGGGAATCCCACTGGGCTCTGTCTCTGGTCGTCGGGAAGCTGCGTTCACGGGGACCTCGGGCAGAGCGGCGGTCCCAAGAGACAAGTCCACCTAGGCACCTCCGGACCCTGTGGACGGGAACCTACTTGGAATTAGGGTCTTCGCAGGTGTGATCAAGGTAAGGACCTCGAGACGAGGGTACCCTGGATTGCCTGGACGGGCCCTAAATCCAATCACAGGTGCCCCTGCGAGAGACAGGGAGGAGAGACACAGGTGCGAGGAGAGATGGGAGCGATGTGGCCACAGCCAAGGGACGCCGGCAGCCACCGCAGCGGGAAGAGGCAGGTGTCTGCGGCACGTCCTCCCTGCTCCCGTCTGCAGCCTCTCCTCGGGCCTGTGGACGTGGAGGCTGGTGCCCGGTCTCTCTTCCCAGCCTCCCGCCCCCCTCGGGCTCCAAACTCCACTCCGGGACTCAGTTTCCAAGAGCGAGCCTCGGCCGGTCTCTGCCCTGGGATTCCGGGCGCCACCGCAGAGCGGGCGTCTCAGGCCTGGCGGCATTCCTGAGCCCAAGGTCTTCGTCTTCCCCCAAACCAGCTCTTCCCTCGGTTTTCCAATCTGGCCCGGCAGCGTTCCTGAGCCCGAGGTCCTCGTCTTCCCCCAAACCAGCTCTTCCCAAGGTTTTCTGATCTGGCTGGTGGTCCCGGAAGCCTCAGCGCCGTCCAGCCCCCTTGCTCGCTGCACCGGGGTTTGTTGGGGAACCCGCCAGTGTGGACGCCGGGCGGAGCCGATGCACCCACTGCTCAGGCTCCACCTGGCCCCCGGCCCTCACCTGCCCTTGCCCGGCCAGCGTGAACCTTGCAGAACGTGGCTTGAGCGTGTCTTCCTCTGTGTGGAGCCCGGCGGCAGCCCCGCTGCGCTCTGAGGAGCTGCCACGGTCCTCCCCGCTGCCTGCCGGACCCCACCAGACCCCGCCGGCCGCTCCAGACCCCCCAAGTCCGCTGCAAACCTTCGTCTCCTGCTCAGCACCTGGCGCTGGCTGTTCCTTTGGCTGGACGCCCTTCCTACGTGCCTGTGGCTGCTGATGGCACGTCCCCACCCCACCGGCTCCCCGCCGGCCTCGCCCGCGTCTGTGCCGACGGCCACCACCCCGCCCTGCACCGTGGCCCACCGAGGCGGGCTCCACGGAGAAGCAGATGGCGGTGCTATTCTCCCTCACCGCTGCGTCCCCCGCGCCTGGCACTGAGCAGGTCCGGGTCGAAAGGACGGACACACAGGCGGCGCCACGGAAACAGAGACGGGAGTGAGCAAAGCCGCGGCCCACGGCACCCCGCGGTGGGGCAGCTCGCACAAGCCGCATCGCAGGCGGATCCCTCGGGTCTCAAGGCCCACAGTCTCCCAGAAAATAACTGGACCCCTTCGAAGTGCATCCAGAGAGACAATCCCACACCCCAGGGGGACCTGCCTGGGACGAAGGCCCGTGTTCCGGTGCTTCAGGACAGGTGACACCAACCAGCCCCTCTGGCAGCCGAGGGACGGACAGGGCTGGGGGACGTTGCCGGCGGAGTATCTCCCCACCGTCACCATCTCAATCACGACTGTCACGCAGCCGTGTCGGCAGAGCAACCTCCCAGGTACCGAGCACCTGGACGGCACCTCCCGTCGTAGTCCCGGCAACGTGGCCAGGACACCGGGGTTCAGAGATTGGGTCCGTGGGGTGCC